AAACGCTGATGTGATAATACAAAATATGATCGGCAAAATGATCGACATGTGATATAAGTATGTCCACCCTGCTTCACTAGTCTGGTGACTATTGCTAATTAAATAATCAATATTAAATATCAATAATTAAAATATCTCTAGCAATATTATCTTTAAACATGAAATTAAATGCATAAATTCTATGATTAGAAAATTTTTTAATTAATATTTAAGAATTCTTATTAATTAATAAATTAAACTTTGATTTTAGAATTAAAAGAACTGTCTCATCCTTAATTTTAATACTGATAATTGATATTATTAACTTAAAGTGAAGCAGTTGTTGAATTATAATTTCTTGTAAACTTTTATATTAAATTCTGCTATTTGTTAATGCTTAAAATCTTATCTTAAAATTAAAAAATTTCTTTTTTTACTCTGACATATACTTATGAATATAATGTTTTTATATATTAAAATGGACTGCATTAAAAAAAAATGTATCATTTTGATTGAGAAATCTAAGGGTAATGTTGCAACCTTATTCACAATGCTATATAGACTGATCTGAACTGATTCTCAAAATTAGAACTGGACCAGTCCTATTAATCAGTCCAAAATTAGTCTTATTAGAACTGATCCAACTCTAATATATGCTATGCCTAGGGTTCAGAATCAAAAATCAGAAAATCACTAAAGTCGAAAGTCAATTGTAATAACGATTTTGAATCTCAAACTTAGTAAAATCATTTAATGATATCAACTTTCATTAGTCTGATTAATTGGCAAAAATTGGTTACATAAAATTGATAAACAATATGGGCAACAAGCTAAATGATGAAATCTTGAAGCTTTAAAATAATGACGAAGTTGAAAAATTAATTCGCTTTATTATTAGAAATTCTGTATGAAAACTTGATGAAGGATTCATTTTTGTGTATCGAATCCTTAAGTGAGCAAAGTTAAGCTTTAAAAAAAATATGTCATGTGACAGCTCACAACTTGTGAAATATAAAACATTTGTTTTTAATATCTTTAGCTTTTATTTTCTAATAAATAAAGATTATAATACAAATTTTGCTTTCATAACTGTTCTATACTTAAAAAATTGAAAAAATTAATACCGATTTTGCCGATATTTGATTATCAATCGAAAATCGTTTTTAACAGCCGATTAATCGTTTCAAAAATAGATTTTGGTTTTTGAAACGATTCCAATCCCTAGTTGCGCCTCAAATAGTTTGGTAAAAATTTTTCCAAATTAAAAATACAATTTTTATTATTGAATAACTAATATTTGATAAAGGGGTAAAAAAATATATATATATATAATTTTCAGATTAAAAAGTTGCCAGAAATTCGTGAATAAAAATTTATCAATAATTGGTTAGATCCTATAATTAAAATTTTCAAAATTTCATTTTATGCAAAATATAGGTTCGTTTTACCATTAATTTTTTTTTTTTGATAATCCGTAAATGTTAATCGGTTGGCATTTGAAATTCAAATACTTGAATATCAAAAAAAAACCCCCCAGATTCGAATTTATTATTTAACTAATATTGGAATATCATATTTTAAAAAACGGAAACCCTACTTTTTTTGTCACCTTTTTAAGCTTTAACCAGATCGTAAAAGTTATTTATATTCTATTCTATTCTCAAAATTTTGCAACGTTAAAACTCAAATAAATCATTTTTATGATCAATTAAATATATAGAACCATAAGAAGCGATGACAGCAAAAAATCCAATAAAAACGGATTCGATGGCGCCCAAAATGGCCATACTGGGGCACGTGTATATACCTTTAACGTATCCAAATAAAATTAAGCAACTTAATGTGATTCCACCGCTTAAATACAATCCAATTACACAATCTTTAATGAAGAAGTATGGAATAATCGGAATTAACCCGGATACGAAATATGATGTTCCAATTACTAATGCGCTTTGCTATTTTAAAATGAATTAAAGGATTTTTTTTTAAAAACCATTTGGTTAAAGAAAAATGTGAATTGCATGAATGTTTAAGTTGACCCACCAAAGAACGTGTAGGATCGGGTTTTTCAAGATTGAATTTAAATTTCATTATAAAATCTACAAATTTCTCGGGATTATTGGATAACTTTTCAAAAAGCGGCGCTAAAGATTGAGAATCTAGCTCATAAGGTTGCATTATATCTATTATTCATTCGAAAAAAAGATTTTCTTTTTATAATTAAATATAAATATTATATATACATTTCTTCATAAATACTTGAAAATACCGTGAATGAATTTACCAATTGTTTCTTGAATCTCTGATTCTAGGTAATATCTAACTTCGAATTCTTCCTCTTTTCTCTCTGCCCAATAATGATATTCTGCCGCTTTTGATGTTGCCCATCCACTTGCGGTTTTAGATATCGTGCTTGCTATCAATTCTAAAAAAATGAGGAGTTTTAATAACTTGAAAATTATGCATTATGCATCATAGTAGAACATCATTTGCGGTACGGGGCTTCCATGCATTCAAGAAAAAACTTACCAACTAAACAACCTAAAATTACTATGTAATTATGTCCTAAAGACGATAGTCCTGCCGCCAAAGCAAATGGTATCGTTAAGCCATCTGTCAGGCTGATAATCATATCTCTAAAAATGTCTGATGATTGAAAATATTTTTTCGGTTGAAGAATCCTTTCTTCATCCGGTACTGTTTCATAACGATGTGAAGTTCCATTAGCATAGCGCGAATACAAGGTAAATATTGAAGACATATATATAATAAAAATTTGTAAAATAAATGCGACAAAAAAATTTATGGTGCGGAGATATTGACATTAAATAGCCGTGTGTACGACCAAAAAAAAAAAGTACGGTTATGCGGGAGTATTGAATGGATATAGTAGAGATCTGTAATATTATCAATTCACGCAAAATTATTCAACAGGTAAGTACTAGGTAGGGGGTCTCGTGAGTCGTACTAAAACTATTGTCAATAATATATTTTTAATTTGCTATTCACAAAGAAATGTCGAAATGTTGTGAAACAAATAATAAAGAGAAAATTTTAAATAAAGAATATGGATTTCTTTATACTGTAACAAATAAATGTTTTTTAAAAAAAACTTTTTAGATATTATCCGTACGCACCGAAAGAACAAGAAAATATACTTTTTGTCAGCTTATAAAAAATCAATCAAAATAGCACAATTTTTTTTTGATCTTGTAAAATCACTATTTTCTCGTACCCTTCCTTATACATATTATTCTTTCATTATTAAACTTTTAAAACACAATAATATTGAAGAAAGAAATTTGCTTCATTATCGGAAATAATAGACTATTTGCAAAAGAACAAATTTTTGATACTTTTGTGACACGGAATCATTCGAATGTATTTGATTTCTTAAAAGTAAAGAATTTTAAATTCATCGGCAAGTAAACAAATCAGGGTGCTTCTTTACCTTGTGTAACTTCATGCATGTTCGTGTAATTTCCCACATTCTTTGAAAAGAACGTGTATTAATTTTAATTTAATTGTTAATTATGTAATTATTGATATGAAATTATCACCTATGTTTTTGGCTTTCTTTATAATAAACCAACGAAATTTCGGTCCCTGAACGGAACCAGGTCTTAATTAGTTTAAATATAATTTAATCATCAATTAAATTTGGTGACTCATGAAACCAGCCAAGTTTCTGCAAAAAATTTATTGATGCATGGAATTTGTATTAAAAGTGAAAAATATCATAAATCTTTATTCAACATTCTTAACCTTTTATGCCTGCTCATTACCGAAATAAATATTGTTGTTTCAGGATGCATCTAATTTATGTTCAAACAAAAAGTATTGGTTTTTACCATTTGAAAATCTCGGTAAGAAAATCCTAATCCGTCGATCATCATATTATTTTTTAATTATGACGCGACATACAACCTATTTGATTTTAAATTATTTAAATGTACTTTACCTTTATTTATTTTTTCCAAAGTTGCAATGAAAACAAAAACAAAACAAATGATTTTTATCAACCATCTAATTTTAATAATTTCGTTACCCTTCGTTATAATACGAGGCACAAATGCTGCTGATTCACCAGAAGCTCGATGGGGTCATGCAGCCGTGCTTTTAGATAACATGTAGGTATTAAATAATTAGTCGTACTTTTATACAATTTATTCTTTTTTTTATAAAATTTCCGAGCTGATGCTTTTCATTTCCTTTCAATTTAATCTTTCATAGATTATATATTTCTGGAGGAAAATTGGGAGAGGATAAAAATAATTTTAACGATACTAAACAGAATTCAAACCAACTAATTACTCTTGATATGACAAAATCTTTCTCGGTTTCGGATCCTACGTGGACAATACTTTCGGTAGGCCCAAGTGTTGCAGAACATACGCTTAGCATAGGAGGACCACAAAATGAGTTACTTGTGTTATGTGGTGGGAATTACCCTGACCCTGTGCCAGAAAACCCAATATTTTATTATAATACCTTAGAGCAATCCCCTAATTGGGTTAATGTTAATATAACTTTACCGATAAAATTGAGAGAGCACACGGCTGTTACAAGATTAAGTGATTCCATGAATTATTTTTATGGTGGCATTGATACGGATGATCCTAATGTTTCAGTAAGAGTTCAATTACAGGATTTACTTCAACTTGATACAAGACAAAACATCTTGGATGATTTAAAGGTAGATCCAAAAACACCACCGGGAAGGTTTCATCATACCGCAACAATTTTGCCGGATGGAAAAATGTACGTAATTGGAGGGTATTCCGGAGATAATACAGGCACGTTAGTAGACATGAGTCAAATTTTCGTTTTCGATACATTAAATTCAATGTGGAACATTCAGGTATTAATCTAAAATATCATAATAGATGGTTTCTTTTTTTTTTTTTTTTTGAAAAACTTTAACATTAAATTTTATTAAAGGTTGCAATTGGTACCTTACCTTTGGCGCGTAGAGATCATGTTGCAGTAGGAAGTAAGTTGAAGTGATAAACCATCTAGAAGATTATTATAATGATCTAAAAGAAATATTTTTTTTATCAATTCGCAGCACAAGATGGTAAGGTGATCATACACGGTGGCGCAAACGCAAATTATGATGTGTTATATAATGATACTGCGATTTTGGATACGACAAAACTACAATTTACTTGGAGCTTAATTAATACAAGTGGGAAAATCCCACCATCAAGATACTCCCATACGGCTACATTGGTTGGAACTAATATGTTGATTGCTTTTGGTGTAATAAGTATGTACTCATTTAAATAGAATTCATTCTTAGAATCACGTGATTTATATTAATTATATGTCTAATAGATTCTAAGGAAAATGGAGATTTTGTAGATGATAATATATATGTCCTTGGTAATTATCTTTTATTTTCATTTAGAATATGGGGTTCGTCATTAATACTCATAAACGAATTGTTTAATCAGATACAAACACATACGAATGGAAAGAAAATTATACTCCAAAAAATTTGGATTTTACAATGACGTCAAAGTCCACTGGTATGATCATCGAACCTCATAAAGCAGTTTCACACGCACCTATGAAGATTGGGATTATAGTTGGTTTGGTAATAGGAATAATAATTTTCCTTTTGCTGACAGTTGGTAGTTTATTATTGTTCTTCCGTAAACGAAAACAAGTTGCCATTAAATCAACATCCTACGAAATCTATAAGGAACAATCTTCAAACCAAATTAGAAAATAAAATGTTCCATTATTCAATCATTTGGCTTACTAAAAAAAAATCTGGTCTGTGACCGGTATTTCCAGCCAAAAACAAGATTTTTTTTTTTTTATTCAATCTTTTCTTTTAATATATTTTATAATAGATATAACATGTCAAATGGTATTTGATGATGTATACGAAAACATTAATTGCGATAGGGGGCGAAATGTAGATCAATTTAATAAATTACAATCGAAATTAAATAATAGAAAAGAAAAGGATTTTATTAATAGAAGCAAGGTATTTCAACTATTACTGCCTCTGCCGGTGCTCTGTAATAGGCTAAAGAAAAGAAGACAATTCTAATCAAAAGCAAAAAAAAACAAGCGAAACATCCTCTTTTATAACAAAATTTCCTTCCCTGAACTTTGGCACGGATCCTCTTAAAATTATCAATCGATCGCTTATGCACGGAAGTGAAAATAATGCAGTGTAACATATAAAAAGAAAGATACCTTGTGAAAGAAATTTAATTGTTCCATTAGTATCGGGGCATTGTATAGTGTAGATTAGCGGCATATAGTTAGAATTTTGTAGATCATTTTGCTAGTGGTCCTTTGTTGATTTTCGGGTATAAAAATGGTGGGATTTTTAAAATGATGTTCCTGAGAAAGAAGAAATAGATAGTATTAGAAAAATAATTTCCCTTGTAACGATTACGAAATTGAATAAATATAAACCTTCTAACTAATAAACGATATGAATTGCGTGTAACACTAATATCAAATAGACCAATATTACCATTTAAATTTGTGTTCGGGTGATGCAGCGCCACTGTATATCTTATCTAAAAATAAATATGCACACTTTTGTCATAGCCGGTATTTTTCAGCCCTGGACTAATTAATTACATATTTGAACAAGAAATTCGAGGTTCGAAGTTCAATAATGGATAAATGGCGTAAGATGATGCTTAGTAGAAAATTCCATCTCAGATAATGATAACCAATCAATGCATTTATACTTGAGATTGAGAACAATAGAAAATAAATTGACAGAATTTATTATTAATAGTAAAAAATTATATTTAACGCACTAAAAGAACCTTTGGCATTTTAAAAACTTTGCTCACTTTTCTTCTTAACCAATCAAAAACGAATTTTATCTTAAAAGAAACATTCAAAAAAATAACACTTTACTCAATTTTCTCCCCAACCAAACAAAAACGAATTTTATCTTAAAAGAAACATTCAAAAAAATAATACTTTGCTCACTTTTCTCATCCCATTATTTCATTATACAACATTTATAATTTATTGTTCCGATAATTTATAATTAGATAAAACCAATCAAAAACTATTTTGTATAACAACGGGATTATAACTTCGAGAACTCCACTCCAAAATATTTCTTAATTATCAAGAGTGTATTACTGACATTTGTCATTTCATTACGACATTCAGTTGACAACGGAAATATTCAAATTTTTAATGAATCAAACAATCAAACAACTCCGACCTCTTGAAGAGTCTTGTTTACGTGAACTTTCCGTATTGAAGTGTAGTTCAGTAATTTGTCCTAAATTTTTTGATAAGCTATTTCAAAAATGTCATAATTTAGAATCGTTAGAGATTAACATACTAAATTTATCAAATTTAAGTATTTTGAAATTGATTTACAAAAATTTCATAATACATTAACTAAATTACACATGGAGTACATTTTGGTATACCATTTTCACAAATATCACTCATATAGGAGTTTAAAATCTACAAGAACTTAGCTTATCATTATGTCCGAAATTGCAGATTTTAAACTTTGAAGCTGAATGTCCAGATAACGATTACCTAATCAAATTCTTGGAAATCAATGGAAAGAGTTAAACTTTGTGATAATATTGATGCTCATTAAATTTAGTATAGGCAAAAGACAGAAAATCATTGAAAGAAATTAAAGAAATTTTTAATGATTGTTCAACAATTAGAAAGCTTAAATATTTTGCTTTGTGATTTATTTTCACAAGAGCTTGAAATATTGATTGTTCTACAAATTTTAATGAATATATCTCATGACCTTGATTTTACTGGAAACGATCGACATTTAAAGAGCGCCGACGTTGAGGCAGTATTTGATTAAATAATTTTTCTTCATTACTGTTTTAATTAAAAACCTTCAGCTCCTTCAGCTAAATTTTTCATTCGTTTATAAATAAATATAAACGACAAAGAACTGAATGCAACAAAAGGCGTTATTAAATTATTCAAAATGGTCAACTATATTGTGATTTACCCGTAATTAAACGCAGTATATTACAAATTGCCAACTTAAAAAATAAATTATACGAAAAATTATAAATAAATTTAAGTTAAAGACTATAATCTGGATTAACAAAATAAATTATTTTCTCAAATTGACATTCGAATTTTTCACTTTAATAAGTAAATTCAAACTTTATTTTACGGTATCATATCGATATAGAGTTAATTGCAAATAATAAATTGATAGCTGGGATTTCACTAATTTACCCCCAGGCTCTGATTGGCTGAAAAAATTCAAAGTCCCCCAAATTTTATTTTAATAAAAAAAAAAAGGAAAATTCAGATACTTAATAAAAATTGAAACACTACCGGTGTCACGCCTGTGATAAATCACCTAAGCCCTAACCCTAACCCTAACTAATCTCAATTATACCAGCCAATCAGAGCCTGGGGGTAAATTAGTAAACTCTTGTAAGACACATTAATTAATTATGTTTGTTGATTTATCAATGATTAGTTTTGAGCATAAAAAATTCGTGATGTTCTTTTTCCTTTTTTTTTATAATATTATCATTTTGATATTATAAAAATTGTTTAGAAGGATTTAAAGGTTTAAAGTTGACGAGTATTTTCATCATGTGTTTGTACCAAATTTTTTAAGCTTGTAAAGTTTTTATACCTGATTAAAAGAAAGGTTGTCTGATTTTTTTTTGCTATTTACCTTTCTTGTGATGTGTAAGGGCTTTTTTGTTGAAATTTTAGGAACTTTTCATTCAAAAGTAGTGTTTGATTTGAATATTAAAAACTTCTTGGTTGTTTTCTGGCTTACTCAGCAGGAAGGAATTTTAAATTTATTATTAACGGGAATATAAAATAGATGACACATATTAACAAAGAGTTATTTAATTTTTAATTTGTTACAGAAACTTCTTAATACACAGAAGTAACGCTGTGAATAACCGACTGGAAGAGTATAATTTTAGTTGAAGAGACAAATAATATATTTAAATGCTATTTATGTATGGTTAATTTTAAATAAACTTCTTTAAGAACAGTAGTAGTAAAAAAAAAAAAAAAAATTTGAGTTGATACCGAATGCCGTTTAGATTGCTCTAAAGGTCACGTTAAACCAAATAACCCGATATAAAAAGTATCAAATATTGATTTTTCGATAAAAATCAAAAAAAAAAATGTATTTCGTATCGAGGACGGAACGAAATGAAATGGTTATCAAATGTCATAATTATAACAGTATATTAAGTGTTAACAGAATTTGGAATTGCAGCTGACGTCTTATTTTCGTTGACAAGCTCAACTGGTGAATCAGGAATAGCTTGCAATTTTTAGAATGACTGATTCGATAATTCTATTCTCAAGTTCCAATAGTTTCTTCAATTCTTTTGACACCATTTTGCTTTACATTTGGTTTCATCTTTTCTTATCGAATTAGAATACGGTTTTTAAGCGTAGATGATATTATCGGACATTATTAAGGTACAAGTGATCACGTCAAAAGGCGTTAAAATATTTGTATCGATAAAATTAAAGACTTTCTTGAGGTTATTTGTGAACGTTGATGACGAAAAGCTGAATGGCTAAATCCAAATAAATGAGATATAATATAAACAAAATTCCTGATGCCAGAACGCAAGCATTCACTTTTTCGTTTGTGATAATTTAATGAATGATCATCTACATATTTATAATGGTATAAAAAAAATGTGTTCGATAAACAAGCTTCTAATAAACTTTGCTGCGGTGATGCAATGTCATTTGATATAATTTTTTTTTTTTAAATACAATTACATACATTTCGACAATAATAACTTCAATTCTTTTCTAAAATATCGCACTCATTTATCACTCACTAAAATGATTTATTCCGGTTTTTTATTAGAGATATTAATAAACGGAAAGCCGCTAAAAGAATGTAGTGAACCTATAAATAAAAGATTTGTATGTTACAAAGAGAAAGAAATTCTCGTATTATTTAAATTTTTTTTTTCTATTATAGATAATTACCTGTTACTTTTTTTTTTTCACTGAAAATCCGAAAAGAAAATGTACCAAAGAATTGTTCAAAAAAAATTCTTATCACTAAAATCAATATTTTACAATAATTAACAGATCACTACGGAACCTTCTTATGTACTTGACCAAAGAACTGGGCAAAAGATCGAAAGGTTCGTATGTAATTAAAGCAGGAATAACAAGCCATTCACATGTCTTAACATTCTTCTGTTAATCAAATCCTTAATGTAGTGATAAAACATACTATGCTGCGGTTGAAGAATTATGCACAAATTATATTGTACAATTTGGTGCTCCGCAAAATATCTTTTCATCATCTTGCACGATACTTAAGGCAAAGCTATTTATCGATGGGCAATGGGATCACACTTGTATGCAACTTCAAAAATCGAGAGTCAAAGCGAGTAAAGATGGATTTTTCGATGAACAACGATATAAAAATATGTTTAAATTTGATGTCACAAATTGGTTAGATGAAGATTCTAGGGAGGATGTCCAATTTGTAAGATCAAGATTTGGAGGAATTGGAGCCATCTCCGTTTACTTTTATAAAGCTAAAGATTTGGAGAAAGTTGAAAGAATAAATAATAATAGCAAAGATAAAATTCAAAAAGTACAAGTTCTTGAATCAACAGGAATTGGAATGGGGATAAAAATTTCTACAGGTTTTGAAAAAAGTCAAAACGTTAAATTGGCCTCGAACAAAATTTTAAGTAGCATATCAACAATACCGGTGGCCGTTTTACACATTCATTATCGACCAGAAAGTTGGTTACGTGCGAGAAATATTCTTATTGATGACATCCCGGTAAAGAGTGAAATAGGTATTGAGGATGAATTCAAAAATATCAAGAATGAGAGTTCGATTAAACAGGAGTTTGAGGATATAAAGTATGCAAACAATAATGATGGGTGCCAAAATTTAGTTAAAAGAGAATTCGCCAGTATTGAAGAAAGAAAACATGAAGGAAAAGCTGATGATGGAATAAATTCAGATGTAATGAAGAAACGATTTAAGGAAGATGCGAAGTCTGAAAAGGAGGATTATTTGAGAAATGAATTAAAGCAGTACAAAACTTTAACGGTAGCGAAACGTGATATAGATGTAACATTATTAAAACAGAGAAGATTAGAACGTGAGAGTGGCGTTAAAAATAAGACCTTGCTAAAATTAAAGAGATAATATATATCTTATTCATTTAGATTATTATTGTACTTAATATTTAATTATGTCATAGATCTAATATTAAATGACTTTTATTATATAAATAATTTCTACTGTTATTATATTTTTCGTATAATTTTTATTTATATTACAATAAATACTTACTACGTTAATATTTTATTTATTATTAAATTTAAATAAAAATATCTTTTTATTTTTAATTAATTTATTTTTTAAGACCACTTTAACCAATCACCACTCTTAACCACTTATAACTGGACTGTTGACCGTTCTTTTCTGGATGTCGAATAAAAATTAGTTTAGTCTTAGTAAGTAATCATTAAAACCTAATCATACAATGGTCATTCATTCTATCTCTTAAAGCGCATACCTTAAAGATTTCTTGGGTTTTTCGCTAGGATAATAGTGACATTGGGAATTTCATAAAGTCATATTACTCCGGAAGGTTCGACTGGTTGGTCACTTATAGCTAAAGATTTTTTTAAAATCCTATGAAAAAATATATAAAGAATATTTTAGTATTTCTACTAAGTAAAGAGAGAGAGAATATAACACGAATTATTTTGAAGTCAATAGAACACTATATTTAAATCATGATAAAGCTAGTACTACTTATGTGGTTGCCAGTATCTATTCTTTCTCTCACAAAGTGAGGGGGATCTCGCCTAAAAAACATCCATCATTAAAGGAAAAAAATAAAAAAGATACCTCCCATAAATAATTACCAAACTACATAAACATTGGGAATCTCATCACATAAGTCATGGTTACTTTAGCCGTTTTACCCAGTCGGCTTGATTGAATATTTTCATTTTTAATGTTTAGTCTAACTTATACCCAGCTCAAATATGTTAGACTTTGTTGACATGTATTAAAATATCGTAGAGAGAGAGAGAAATAACTTCAAATTTTTTTTTCAAATAATTTACGAATTGGCTATATAATTTTTTCCTATTCGATCGGAGTTTTGATCACGTTGTCCAAGCTATTCGAAAGCTTTCGAAGTGAAATTTTGTATCAGAACTTCTCTTCTAATAAAATTCTTTCAAAAATTAACTTTAAATAATTAAAAGTTCTGTAATAAGAAGGTTACTATATTCTTTATTTGCATAGGTTTTCTGAGAAGGATTTATCTAGTACATTCTTTTTTAAAACAATTTTGATGTCACTTCTTGTTTGAATATTTATGCTTACCAAAGAAAATATTTTTAAAAAATATTATTCCGCATATGTTTCTTTCAAATAAGGTATTTACGAAGAAAATTAAACTAAATCTTTCACCAAGGCTTATGTTTTATTCTCACAAAGCAGTGCGGCTTATTTCAATATTACAAAAAAAAAATTTTTTTTTGCATATTAACCCTAATGTAATTTAATTATTAATTTTACTAGTAAAAATGGTGATGAGGAAACGAATCCTTTCCTACTCTCTGGAACGTCTCACATAATAATCCCACATCACACCTCCTACCTTTAAATAAACCAGAAAAATACCAACTATTAAGTAATTTATTCAGATGGAAGCTAATAATGAAATCTAATCTTCGTTTCAAATTATGAATTCATATAATCAATTTTATTTTATTTTTCTTTTTAGAATGTCTGTCATATACACATCTTTGTTAATAATTTCTTATGATGTATTGACGGACATTCCAAACACGCATTCCAACAAAAAAATTGAATCTCTACTTCGGGAATTATTACATTGAAAGATCATGGTCTTGCTCATCCAGCTCAAATTCCTATTTGATGACGATATCCTTCGTTCATGAGATATAATATACAACTATAAAAGCCTCCCAAATGATACGTTGAGTTTTTGTTTGTTATTTATTTAATAAGTATGTTAACTCCGTTATGTGACCACTGCAAAGAAAAAAGCGAGCGTTAAAAAATGTCCAATAAGCGAGGTAAAAGTAAAGCAATTTTATATTATTTATATCAGAGCTTTAGTTTTTTTTTAAAATTAACAATTACTTGCCTTTTTGCATGTTCTGAAGGTCTTCAATTCCTAACCTTTTCTGGATCGCAAAGCTTCTATAGTGGAATTTGATTTTATATATTCTAAATTGAAGAACTAAGGCTTACCTTTTTGATTCTATAAAGTTCTTTAATTTTTGGATCGGGTAAGTTCTACCTATTTTTAAAAAAATTTAAGATTAATCAAATGATTCCTTTTTGCAGAAATCGAAGAGGTCTTTAATTATTAAATTAGAGTTAATTTCCTATAGAAGTCTTAGTTAAATTGAAAAAAAATAATTAAATATTCACCTTTTTATTATTATTGTCGAAGTCTTCAATTCTTAAATTGGGGTAAGTGCCGTGTTGATTTTTTAAAAAGATAAAAATACTCACCACTTCTGTTGTTTTTTTTCTTTAGCTTAGATATGATCTTTCGATCGCTTTGGGCCTACAAATTTTCCAAAAAAAAAATCTTATGCTCTTTAAAATTCTTACCTTTTACGGATTGAATCGTTGATGCGTTATAAGATAAGTTTAACTTTTAATTTTTAGTGACAGGTTTGATCGTTTCAGAACGCAAACTGGAATTTGGTTTGTATTTTTTTTTTTATTTCGCTTTTGATAATTTTGGGCCGCAATGATAGATGATTCCAGTATATGAAGGATATATATGATCTTTTTTCTATTTTAACTCATTTTATAAATTATTCTAATTTTTTTTTTTGAAATTGATGAAGGGTCGTTCGATCTGCTGTAGTAAGACTTTTATTATTATTTTATTTTATTAATTGTTATTTTGTTAATTGGTTTATATTTCTCATATCAGATTTTTAGACGACATCAAATTATTTTTTATTCATTAATTGTTTTACTTCGGGTTGGATCCATAAAAATAATTTTTATTTTTTTTTATTTAATATTTATTTTCTTAAATGATTTCTTTTGGGTTGAATGAATCAAACCGCAATGGTAAGTTTGTTTTCTTTTGAATACCATTTTTTTACGCAATTTCTCTTTTTTTTAAAAAAAATTTACCACAGCAACTAAAGTGATTTCTCTTATTTTATAGATTTTGTGCCATTAGTGGGAAAAGCGGTGAATGAATTATGTCTTTGACCTCCATATTTTTATAAAAAAGTTAAGTAGTGATGACAGTCTGCAATATTTGAGTCAGACATTAGAGTCTTTTAATCAGGCTCTTTTGAGTCAGCTTTGTTACTAAACTTTCATTTGGAAATTACAATTACAATTCGATTATTGAAACAAAAATTAATTTAAAATTATATTCCAATTTAAATGTTTTGTTTCCAAAAATCATTTTAACTAAAAAGTTTAAATGACACATATTATGTATTTATTATATAATTATTCTTTTTAAAAAAAAAATATTATCAGAATAAATTCATAAAACATTAATTATAATGCTTTCTAAATGCATCTCTTTACTTTTTATTTTAAGTAAATTATTAAATTTATTATTTTTATTTTTTTTTTGAATTTATTTATATGTATTTATTATTTTATTTATTAATAAAAATTTTATCAAATTTATATTTAACTTTAAAATTAAATAGTTTGGAATGATCGGCAAAAATGCGCCAAATTTATCAACCAATCAAATTCTTCCAAATTATTTATAAAATAGTGTGTTGTCTCAAGTAACCTTTTTTTTTCTCACTCGCTTTCCCTTCTTAAGAATAGTGCCGTAAATCAATAATATTTTTGTTTCTTGATTAGATATTAATAAATAATGTTAGATGGAATAAGAAGTGACGAAATAAATATACTATAGCGAAAGTTTCTGGGATTGGTTTGGTTTACCATAGTTTTTTAGTTTTTTTTTTATATTCTTTAACGCGTTTAATTTTAACGAACATGATTTGACTGGAATATTAATATAATAGAAATTTTAAGGCCGAGTGCATAATAATATATTTATTTTAGTTTTTTTTTGCATTTAGTGTCACTTTTATTTACGCGTTCAATTTTCCCTTTAATGGAAAGTACAACCATTTGGATCGATTATTGGAGTAGTGAACATGTTGGGCTGTATAATTAATGAAGATAATTCACGAAATATTCTGTGTACTGGTTTGATTTTTTTTTTTATAATTTTTTTATATATGTTTTACTAACGCGTGAAATTGCATTTATCGGACTGGATAACATTTTGGAATAATCAATGCTTATAAATTAGAAAACAACATTATATTTCATATGGTAGAGATATTATATGGAAAAGTTGGTTATGATGGACAATCTATTGTTAATATGGATTGTGTGTTAATAGAGGAATATCAAGGATGATTGACAAAATTCTATGAATGGGCTTGCTATATATTATTTTTTTTATATTTTACTCGCGTCATATTGCATTTACTGGACTACTGGACTGGATAACTCGTTGGATCATGTGATAAATGAATTTGATATTGTGAATTTGATTGGGCTGGATGAATTAATATTAATGTGATGGAGAGATATCAAAGATGATTGACGAACTTTTCTGTGACTGGATTTGCTAAGTCTTGATTATTTTTGTTTTAATTTTTTTTATATATTTGCTTTACTAACGCGTATAATTTTATTTATTGGACTGATAACATATTCTAACATGTAATAATGGCATTAACGAGAAAGATAAATTTGGTTGGGATATTTAATATGTAATAATGGATTGTGATTTGATGGAGGGATATCAAGGATGATCGACAAAATTACTGTGAATGGGTTTGACTTACAGTAATTTTTTTTTTATTTGAATATTTTTTACTCGATTGGATAACTTCGTTGATCATGTGATAATGGAAATTAACATTTGGTTGGGTTAGATAATATTAATATGTAATGATAATAATAATGGATTGTGAGTTGTTGGAGTGTATAAAGGATAATTGAAGAAATTACTGTGAATGGGTTTGATATTTCTTATATTTTTTTTTTGTTGTTGTATTTTATATTTGAATATTTTACTAACGTGTTCTTATTGTATTTACTGGAATGGATAACTTTGTATATTATTATGTGATAAT